TCAAACTTGCAAACACGGAAGAACGTAGGCGGTCGTCCCAGACTCGCCTTACGACCTATCACAAATGGTAATTCCATAAACACAATAGCTTTTTTTTAGTTTAATTTATGTGAAAAAAATAATCATCTATATTATATCTTCAATGATTATAATAAATATCATTTGTCCTGCAGTTTCATCTTTGAGCTTGCCACCTCGGACGAATGTAGGCGGCCGTCCGAGGCTCCCAATCCCTCCTTCCATTATCATCAACAGATCCACATTATCTTCCGGTTCGTCAAACTCATCAATAAAAAAAGCTAATTATTTTTTAAAAGATATTTAAAATTTTATTTTTTTATGGTCTTTTTATCCACCACTTTGAAGATTTTGAGAATATTTACATCTGTAATTGATTTTAAATTTATTTTTAAATTACAATGCCACAGAATATTGGGATATTGGCGATGCATCGTTCCGCTGCCTTCACTGTGGCGCGAGATTTTGGTACTCTGAGCGATTGGGCAAGCCATCTAAACCTAAAGTCCCTAAGTATTCTGGTTGCTGCAACAACGGATTCATCGAACTTCCACCCGTTTACACTTCTCCCCCCTTTCTGCGTGAGCTGATTTTTGGTTCAGGTCCACGGAGCAAGCGCTTTCAAGAAAACATTCGGTCTTACAATAACATGTTCTGCTTTACATCCATGGGTGGAAAAATTGATACCGACATAAACAAGGGAACCGGCCCACCCGTCTTCCGTTTGCACGGTCAGAACTACCATTTAATGGGTAGTTTGCTACCCGATCACGGGGCTCCTCCGAAATTTGCTCAATTGTACATCTATGACACGGAAAATGAAGTATCAAACCGTTTGTCTTCTGTGAGGTATATTTCTTATATTTTAGCATTTAAAAGTGAGTACTATGTTTTTTGTTTTCATTGCGGTTTACATCATCTTTACTAATTTAAAACAAAATTATCTTTATTTCAGGAGAGGTTCAGAACGAAATAACCTAGATGAGGATGTAGTTCGTGGTTTAAAAGAGATGCTCGATCATTACAATGTTTTGGTCAAGTCGTTCAGGATGGCCCGAGAGACAGTGATCCAGCACCAGCAAATTGAAGTTAAGATGCGTCTTATCGGTAGAAGGAACAAGGATGGTCGGCGTTATAATTTACCCTCCACTTCTGAAGTTGCCGCCTTAGTTGTTGGGGATTTCGATGATGCCATGGGCAGTAGGGATATTATAGTAGAAAATCGGAGCGGACGTCTGCAACGGATAAATGAGTTAAACGCTTCTTACTTGGCACTCCATTATCCTATTCTTTTTCCATATGGCGAGGATGGCTACAGAGAGGACATTCCGTTCTCCTGTCTTAAACCGATAACAGAGAGGTCGAGGAAATTTATCAGCCCGTTGGAGTTCTTCAAATATCGAATGCACGATCGGGACTGCGAATTTTCGTCAATTCTTTCCGCTCGGAGGTTGTATCAACAATTTGTTGTGGACGCGTATACAATGGTGGAGGGAGCTCGGCTCAGATACATACGTTTTAATCAGAAGAACTTGAGAACTGAATTGTACAGCAGACTTTCCGACGCTGTGCTGCGTGGTGACACGGATCCTGGTTCTCAAGGCAAACGTATCATACTTCCTTCATCATTTACGGGTGGCGCTAGATATATGGTTCAGAACTATCAGGATGCAATGGCCATTTGTCGTTGGACCGGTTATCCTGACATTTTCATAACCTTCACATGTAATCCGAAGTGGCCCGAAATCAGTCGTTTTCTTGCTGAGAAGAACCTCAACCCAGAGGATCGTCCTGATATTATTTGCCGGATTTTTAAGACCAAGTTGGATCAGTTGATGAGGGATGTTCGTCATAACAAGATATTTGGAGATGTGAATGCAGGTATATCTTCAAACTAATTTTTAACTAATTTCTTCCTAAATTTTATTATACCTTTTTGCTATTTACTAATTTTGACAAAACTATGGATTTACTGCAGCAATCTACACAATTGAATTCCAGAAACGTGGCCTTCCGCATGCGCATATCTTGCTTTTCCTTGCCAAGGAATTCAAGATAAAGACTACTGATGACATAGATAAAATAATTTCTGCTGAAATACCGGATGAGGCCACCGATCCATTTTACTATGCTGCTGTTAGAGATCATATGATGCATGGCCCCTGCGGAAGTGTTCGCCCGAATTCTCCGTGTATGGCGAACGATTGTTGCACAAAACATTTTCCAAAAAAGTTCTCCGAAACCACGACTCTTGATGAAGAAGGCTATCCACGATATAGACGGCGTGATAATGGCAGGACCATCGAAAAGAATGGCATTCCCCTGGATAACAGATACGTTGTGCCCCATAACAGGAAATTGCTTCTGAAGTACGGCGCGCACATAAATATGGAGTGGTGCAACCAGTCCAGGTCCATAAAATATTTGTTCAAGTACGTTAACAAGGGGAACGATCGCGTTACTGCCACCTTCCATGCGTCCAATGGAGATGAGGCATCTAGCAGGCCAGTTGACGAGGTGAAGATGTACTATGATTGTCGATACGTTTCA